AACAAGCACACTCTGATGAGTGTATGATATGACTTGGCTATTGAACTAAGTGTCACGAAGAGGTGCGTGAACTGCTGTAACCGCGAACAACAAAAGGACTGCATACGCGCACGTGTTGTTCAGAGGCCAATCGCCCACTCCCCTGCCGGTCGTTGTTGATGCGGATTTGTTGATTTCCACCGGCGTTTTGCAAACGGCCCCTGCTTGTTGAGCACGATACTTGGACGTTCATACGACCGTCGAGATAAACAGATCAGAACATGACAAAGCGGCAAAAGCCCCATGCGCGATGGTCCCGCTGAACCCAAACGAGCTCAGCCGACCAGCGAATGATCGGTGCGCCTCACCTTCAGCCAGCGCCTCGACAGGCACCTAAAACGATGACAGCAGGATCGCGAACAGGTGTGTGTTCAGCCTAACATTCAGAGATTGGCGGGCCCTGAGCTAAAGGAGGACCTCCTGAGTTGCGCATTCACGGTTATCACATTAATGCTGAGAGGTATGAGCACAAGAGAGGCCAAACCTGCGACAGCTGCCGAGGCCTCCAAGTGACCCATGTTTGACTTCAAAGAAGCGCATTATATCAACTACGAGTCGGTACACAGCGCCCGAATGGCAGCACCAACCTAAATGGAATCCTCATATGGACATCATCCCCAGGAAAGATACCTCGATTGGGTCTCCAAGCGCTGTGCCCGTGCCGTGCGCTTCGAGAGCATACCTTGACGCGCCACCACTCTTTACTGCCTCGATGAGCGCCCTTTGCGAGGAACCATTCGGCGCCGTGAGACTCGCACGCGGACCGTCTTGCTAAACGCTTGAACCAGCGACTTAGGTACAAGACTCCTGCGGCTCAATCAGAAATGTCACAATCCCTTCACCACGACAGAACCCATCAGCTCAACCGTCAAACGTGTGACATCGCCCATGCGCAGAAAGCATTCCTGCTGCGGAGAAAGCGATTGACACGATAGAAGCAATCAACAAACTCCCGCCAATTGCGGCATGTGATATCTTGTCGAGAATTATTGACAGAGACCCCACATGTAGCGCAACCAAAGATGCCGAGCATGCGGTGTCGACGGAAAGGCTTGGTCCTCAAAGGCCAAGCACATATGACAATCACCCACAGGCGACTGCGAGCGACGTCGAGGTGCCAGAAAACACCGAGATCATTCAGGACCGACCACATCCTGCATCATCATCTGGGAAGCCACCGTTGGCCCCCAAGACAAACCCGATATGGTGATTTCAAAGATGAGCATAGCAATTCGTTTTGAACGAAGCACAAATTGCCGTGGAGCTTACCTCTAAAATCAGTATCATTTGAGAGTTCATTTGAGATGACTCGCTTCTGGAAATGCCAAAAGCCCTAGCGTCTGTAGCCAATAGTGAGTCAGTGTAAGCGCCGTATTTCGCAGAGTGGTGGTCCACTGTGAGTCACCCCAGCGAACGAT